AATAAAATATACCTAAAGCAATATGCTGCAAATCATTCCCTTTCTATATTCTTTCATCCAGTTTCTACCACTTTTGCCAATAGGAAACTACTATTATTAAGGTCTTGTGTGTCTTTACTAGACTTGTTTTGCATATATAACTGAATATGGGTGTGTATTTCTCCTTTACATTTCTGAAATAGCAGCATAGGGTACACACTGGTTTTCAATGTGATTTTTTTCCTACATTGGAGGTATTTGTATGTTAGTGCCAGAGGTGGTTGGCTTGCCATATTTGTGATACATAGTGGAATCATCCCTAAAGTGAAAACTAATTTTCTGCACAGAATAAAGACTCACCTTTATTGCTTCCTTTGTCATTCAATCTCTAATTTCAAAAAGAAAAATTGCTAATTCTTGAAAAATATTAATCCTTCTCATATATAGATAATTTATTAGTCATGAAATTATGAAGGCAAAATATTTGACTTTTGCTTCAACTTGATGAGATTTTTCTCAATAATTTAAAATTTTCCTGGTTTATTTTACATATGAATGGGTGCCATACCTTGAAGATTTAAAAAAGATTAAAAAAATTTTTTTCTATAGAAAGTAGCTAATGTTAACAAAATATAACTAAGCATATACTTATTGATTTGTAATCAATGGGGTACATCATCACATTGTTTTTTCCTCTGGTAGTAGTAGATTTGTACTTACATAATTCTACACTTGACCTTATATAAAAATTTGCTAAGTTATTTATTCAACAGGTATTAAACACTCATATATGCTGTGAAGGATGCAAGATGATTTCTGTCTTCCAGAAGCTCAGAGGCAAATGGCAGACATATGGCAAATACTTGCAGAATGTTTAAATAAGTGCAACAGCCGATGCTCCCTTAGCATATAGTAGCTCCTTTCCATTCTCATTGCTACCAGTCTCAATCAGGCTTCTTTCATCTCATCCAGACTGTTGTGTTGGGTTCCTACCTGGCCCCTATATCTCACAGTGCCCCCACTCCTATCCGCTTGTACCCAACGAGTTGTCATATGAGATGATAGCTCCAGAAATTTCACTCTTGTGATAAAACACAAAATAAACGTAAATCCCCATTGTACTAAAGGTCTTCCTGATTGTAGTTTAAGCATAACATTCTGGTTTGAGGTTTTTTTAGTCTCTTCTTCATTCCATATTCACTCTCTACTTTTTTCCCCCCTGAAAACATGCTACAGTCTTGATTTATTTCCTTTTCCTCATGCTGTTTTCAAGAAACACCCAACTTCTCTTTTCAGAATTCTACCATCATCCAAAAGGGATCTCAAATATTATTTTCATATGGGATATAATCTGTACCAAAAAGCGTGTGCGTGCATGTGTGACATTTGTGGAGGTTACCAAGAAAAAATTATATAGTAATTTACACTCTGGCAGATATTTTCTTTGTTACTTGTCTTTTCTGTTAGACTAAAGTCTTTGACTAAAACTTGTATTTTACTAGTCTTTTTTTCCAGTTTAGAACTAAATATAAACTTTGTACATAGCAAGTTCTCAGTAAATATTTATGTAATCGAATTGAAGTTATTTGAATCAAATGCTGTAGAAAAAAAATCGATTTCATGCGATGAACTATCCTGGGAAGATTTTTTGGATGGGGCCTTGGATAGGCCTTTGACATATGGAAAAAATGTGACAGAGACTCTATGATGAAAATTTGTAGGAATCAGACACTTAAAACAATTAGAAACAACAATCACAAAAAGTAGCTACTCTGATTTTCATAAAGTCCTATTTTCAGTAATTATAAGACATAATTATATAATTAGCTTGAAGAAGGAAAAAGCGAGCCATAACATTTCCATCAATATGATAATAAAACAAGACTTAATGATACTAAAAAGAATCATTAAAAATTAAAGATACATGAACTATTTCTTTTCAAACTGATAGCAAAATGCTCTTTTTTCCCAGTAAATTTTGTACTAAATTTAGTTGTAGATTTGCAGTTATATAAAAGCACTCTGTAAAATCTCATAAATGATTATTTCAAATAAAAACCTTAATTATAAGAATTCTTATAATTGTAAAATTGTAAGATTTATAAGAATATTTATATTTGTCATCACTCTCTATTAACATTTTTTTTAATATACACACCATGGAATACTACTATCTCTTAACCTAATGATAGCTAATCTTTTAATTCAAATATTTATATTATTTTTTACATAAACTCTTTTATATCCATGTCTGCATAATTGGATCATCTTTGTAGATTTCAGTAGGACTTGGACGAGTGAGAGCATATATTACATTTCTTTTCATTTATTTTTTTTCTCCTTCTTTTTGGAAAACTCTATAATTTCTGTATAAACTATTTAAAATTACAGACGTGTGAAGAGGAAAAGTTTCTTAAGCAAATTTCAACCCACATCTGTTTTTTTTCATTTTTACTAATAAGTCAATATAAAATTGCTTAATGATTTTTCAAAAGTTGAACAGAAATTTTAATTAAATACTACACTAATCATAATATTAACTTTGGCCAAATAGTCTAGACATTTAGGTTTCATTACTATGTTTTCAACAAAAAAAAATTCCACAAGCAACATCTTGAACACTGTGTGGCTTGATGTTCCAGTTAAAGAAAAATGTCTTTTTACTAAAATAATTTAATGATAAATTTTATTTTCACCCTTCTTCTTTTTATATTCAGAATACTGAAATGAAAATATCTACAGGTGTGGCAGGCAGAATAAAGGTACCCCCAAAGATGGCCGTGTCCTAATTCCTAGAATCTGTAAATATGTTACTTACAGGGTGAAAGGGACTTCAGAGACATGATTAAGATTATGGACTTTGAGATGGGGAGATTTTCCTAGATTACCCACGTGGGTTCAATCTAAGCCAACAATTCCTGTGGCCTCTGGAATTTGGAAAAGACAAGAAAATGGATCTCCCAAGAACCTCTAGAAAGGAGTGCAGCCCTGCCAACACCTTGATTTTATTTAGTTTAGTAAGACCCACATTGGACTTGTAACTGAACTATAAAATGTTTATATTAAGACACTAAATTTGTGGTAATTTTTACAGCAGAAATAAGAAATTAATACACTAGGCATATGGGAAGGTTGAAAATAAATTTGAGTATTTATTAATATTTACCAAAAAGTGAGTATGTATTATTAACAGTCAAAAACTAAAGTTTCCCCAAGGAATTCCTACTCTTTTTCTAAGGACCAGTTTGGAATACAAAAACTTAAGAATGTAAAAAACAATTCACTGCCACTCTCCTAGAAAATTATACTAATTTTTAGACTATTTGCAGATTATTTACCTCTAAGCCTGAATATATGAACAGAATATGCTTCAACATAATTTTTTAATGGTAATATGTTTGTTGCAAGCCTGGTACTTGAGCATGCCAAGCACAAAGAATGTACTCAGTAAATATTTGTTGAATGAATAAAAAAAGTAGTAAGATTGAGGAATCAAAAGAAATAAGCTCACAATTAATTACTAGCTGTATTTGTAGAATTCTGAAAGGTGTCATATTTTTAAAAATAACAAATATCACTCTTAACCATATTTCCCTGTAGAAATATCAGCAATATAGTGAAAATCATGTGAAATCAAAAGATCCCCAATGTGCCCCTGAAATATATCCAGTGTCATAATTCCTTCTTTGTTCCCTAATAGATATCCTAATAGATATCACAATGGAGACCATGAAATAAAAATTCAACAGCTGAAAATGTTGTGATGATGCAACATAATCCACATATGTAATCTAAACATTTGTACCCCTGTAATATTCTGAAATTAAAAAAACACAATTTATAATGAAAATATAATCACCCCAAATATTGATTGTATAATAATTAGTAAAACACTGATAATGAAAAAATACAAAAGGAGCTATTTTGAGTAAAAAAATAGTTTTCTTATTTTTTTAAATAATCCCCTGTCTCTATTCAAAACTTAAACATTCTAAGCTTAAAATTTTTGATAATACTCAAGCAAAAGATGGTAATACATAAAGACAACCTGATGGTAAAAATTAAATGCTCCATTTAAAAACTAAGAAGCCAAAACAATTTAGAAATCTAACTTAAGAGATCAGTTCTCTAATTCCACTTCTATAATTCTATCTTGGACAAATAGTCTTGAATAAAAAAGTAGATTTTGGACAAAAAAGAACACACCAATTTTTAGTGTAAAAAAATTTATGCCTAATTTAAACATTTAATGATAAGAAAATAGTGAGGTAAATGGATCATATATCTAAATTTCATGCACTAAAACAAATATAGCATGAAAAAAATCAGTGTGAAAAATTTTAAACTTAGTATGATCTTAATTATTTAAAAACATGCATAGCAAAAAAATGGAAAACAATATGCTAAAATATTATACCAAATTGGTACCATTGTAGATTATTTTAATTTTATGCTATGTGTTTGTACTGTGTTTTCTGAATTTTCAATACTAAAGTAATATTTTATGATCAGAAAAAGCATTTTATAATGAAAAATAAAAGTTCTAATGTAAATAATCACTTCTTGATCATTCAGCATTTCATACACTGTAATTGTGTGTATTCCACGAAAGCTTCTAAAGTAATGGACTGTTACAGATCAAATTAAGGACTTTTGCAACTAGCATCAAAGTACATTTTAAATTTGAGAAACAAAATCATCTTAAGGAACGAAAGTCAATATTAACTATGAGGAAATTGAGTATAGGGGATAAGTCACAGATAAATATTTCACAGGAGACAAGGCCTACTCTTTTTGGTAACTTACAAGAGCTAGTTTTTATTTACACAATCACCAAAGTTACCTACACAGTGTTAGGCCCCCGAATTATTATTATTATGTAGTTAAATCCTACCTTTGCAAGATCCTGGGACATAAACTCCATGACTGTAAAATTTATTCCAATAATCTGGGTAATAATTGGTCTTATATATCACTGTAGGTCAAATAAAAAACAATATATTGGTGGAATTATTACTTACTGTGGTAGCACAATGAATATCTTTCCATACTGCGGCTTCCCTGGAGAGATCAGAGACTTCAAACAAATTATCAAGAATCACTTCCCCAATCATGTCATGTCTAGAAAATCTGTCAAAATCATACACACTGAAATGTAGCTTTCGGTTGCATAGTTGGTCGTACACTACAGGAAACTGAAAAGTTTCATCAAATAGAGGATTTAAGGTCTTTCTGTGCACACGGGTCTGGAATTTCTTTTTCCTATCTGGAAGAAGATACATCTTCACATAAGGGTCAGAAGTTCCTGTGAAGTCTTTAGCAGGGAGATCTAAGGCTTTGATAATTTTGACAACTAGAAGTTCATTTTCATAATCATACTGGAGGGTAAAATTAAGTTTCCCACAGGTTTTGACGTCCTCTTTTTTGTTGCCCTCGGAGTCAACCGATTTCTGTTTGTAGAGCTCTGGTTTTATTCTCCCAATGCTGGTTGTTGTTTCTCCTCGTTGTAAAACAGGCTCTGTGCCCATGCTAAAGTCAACACTGGAAACCTGCATTTGCCTTGGTAGGTGTCTCCTGAAGGAGTTGTGGCTGTACACATACACACACATACAAAATCATTGTGGTAGATCATTTTGATGACAATGTTACACAGTGGCATTAAACTCTCCCATACCCGCAGGATAATGAAAAGATATCTGTATCTATACCTATATGGCTAGATATACACACACACACACACACACACACACACACACACACACACA